GAGAACTCTCCGCCTCTGTCCGAGTGCAGACGCAGAACAGGAAAGTCCGAGCCGAAGCTCTTCCTGAGCTGGAGACGAGCCTCGCGGATCCAGTCGATCAGCACCTCAGTGACCGCACCCTTGCTGCGCAAGGGGAGGACTGTGGTGTAACGCGAGTAGTCGTCAACCACCAACAGGAAGTAGCGCTCGTGACCCTGCCCACGGACGGGGGCTGGGCCCCACACATCCATGTGAAGCGTCTGCAGGGGAGCCTCTGTCGGGGGGAAGTGGGAGGAGTGAGGAGTAGCCCGGAGGCGACCCTCGACACAGGGGACACAGGAAGGTCCTGGCCCGGAGGGGAGAGGAGGGAGAGACTGGGGAAGACCAGAGACAAGGACACGGGAAGCCATGCTCCGAAGACGGGGCAAGGAGGGGTGGCCAAGACGGTGGTGCCACAGGAGAGTCTCGTGAGACAGGAGGCGACAAGAACAGGGGGCAGACTCAGGACCTGACCGGGACGCAGCAGCAAGCACCTGACGTGACGCAGCCACCTGACCAGACACAGGGACAGGAGGAGACTCAACGGTCAGGGTGTAGAGACTCGACCCCGGCCGACGCGAGAACGTGGCCAGGTGTCGGCCTGTGCGTGCCTCCGTGCAGTGGGTCACCCGCTGACTCGCAGGAGTGAACTGGTGAACCCCCACATCCTGCAGGTCCGCGCCACTCACCAAGTTCGTAGAGAACGAGGGAAGGTACAGACCAGACAGGGTGCCCGAAGGGGCAGCCGGACACGGGAGGACAGTGGAGAAGTGAGACAGGACAGGACCCCCAGAGGGGTCAGCAAGGGAGACTGCAACCGGCCGGCCGAGCGGCGTAAGGGTAGTGCGGTCTCGAAAGAAGGAGCGAGAAGCCCCGGAGTCAAGTGTGAAAGTGAGGGAGGACGAGGACGACGCAGTACCTGAGAGCGCAGTCTCACCAGTACCTGAGAGCGCAGACGCACTGGCACCTAGAGCAGCAGCCTCACAAGCACCTAGCGCAGCAGTACCAATGCCCGGGTCGGGCTGGAAACACCGGTAACCCTCATTCTCCTCACTATAAGTCACAGCATACATAGCAGCAAGGATAGCATCAAAATCAAGATCAAAGATCGCTACACCAGCCCTAAGAAGCTCATCCCAGCGAGGGATCTCACTAGCCCCAGGGAACTGCTGACGCCAAGCGTCCGTCAGGCGGCCAAAGCAGCGCTGGGCGGCGTGGGCACCCCCACACTGCTCACCCACGCGATCGCCGGAACGAAGAACGTAGGTGCAGGGACCAGTACCCCCACCCCTCTGACGCCCAGCGTACCACTCACGAAGCTGCTGAGGCGGAGGGATGTCCCGCGAGCGCTGCTGCTGCTGCGAGCGCTGGCCACTACCACCGCCGCTACGCTGATGGGTACCACCCCGACCAGCTCCACCTCCTCCACCACCACCGCCTCCTCCGCTGCCGCCTCCACCGCCTCCACCTCCGCCGCCTCCACCTCCGCCGCTGCCTCCACCACCACCGCTGGCACCACCACCACCGTCTCCGCCGCTGCTGCCACCACCACCACCACCCCCGCCACTAGTCCCGCCGCCACCCCCACTCCCTCCGCCGCCACCGCCGCCACCGCCACCGCCCCCTCCAGCTCCACCCGCACCCTTGCCCCCCTTGCCCTTGCTGGAGCGACGTCTCCCACTAGGGGCAGACGCCGCGCCGACCGACTCAAGACCAAGCAGGTCGGCAGCAGCAGTAGAGGCAACAGAGGGCAGCAAGGGGGAAGGAGAGCACCCCTCAAAGATGGGGGTGCGAGGGTCACCACGAGAAGCACCTACAGCGACTATGCTTTTCTCCGCTGCGAGGAGGGCCTTCTCGAGGAGGTCGACGGTGAGGGTGGTGGGACAGACTGCGAGAAAGTGGTCCTTGACGACGCGAAGGGAGTCAGGGAGGCGCGCGACTACGTAGTAGAGAGCGATGTACATGGGGGGTGGGTTCTTAGCGCAGAACTCAGCAGGAAGGGCGGCGCGGTAGCGAGTGTCACTAGTGCGGAGGTGCGTAATGAGGTCAGCGACAGTGGGAAAGGCAGAGAGGTCAGGAAAGAGGTAGGGAAGCATGAGACGGCTCAGTGCAGCAGTGGCAGGGGAGGAGTAGCGCGCAACTACAGCGTCGTACAAGGTCTGAGCACTCTTGTACTGACTAAAGTGCGCACGCTCAGAGGTAGGGAGGTGGCGACGCACAGCAAGACGTGCAGCAGCATCGCGGGTGGCCCACTGAGAGCGGACAGTGGGATCAGCATCAGCAGCAGGAGCAGGAGAGGCGCCAGAGGTGAGGTCAAAGAGAGAAAGGCCGTCAGCCCTGTCGCACTGTAAGAACAGCTGCAGGTCGTCTAACCAGACCTCAAAATCAATGGCGCGACCCTCAGCGTCAAAAGCTAGGACACTAGGGGTAGCCATGGCGACGACAGCGACGCAGTGCAAGAAGTAGGGAAAGAGCTCGCAGTGACAGTGGGACTGTGCTCACCAGGCAGGGCAGGTCGTGCAGATCTGCAGAAAGGCGGCTCGGCGACCGGGCGGCTCGGGTGCACAGCGGCTCGGCTCCCGGGCTGCTCGGCGGCTGGGCGGCTCGGGTGCAGGGCGGCTCGGCTCCCGGGCGGCTCGGCGGCAGGGCGGCTCGGGGGCAGGGCGGCTCGGCTCCCGGGGGGCTCGGCGACAGGGCGGCTCGGCTGCTGCAGGTGGGGCGGCAGGGCCGCGTGAAAGAACCGGGGCGGGGCCGCGTCAGAGCCGGCGGCAGGGCCGCGGGAGGGCCGGCGGCGGGGCTGCTTGAGAGCCGGGGCAGGGGCCTCGTGAGAGCAGGGGCGGGGCCGCTTCAGAGCTGGCGGCAGGGCCGCAAGAGAGCCGGCGGCGGGGCCGCCTGACAGCCGAGGCAGGGGCCGCGTCAGGGCCGGCGGCGGGGCCGTAAGAGAGCCGGGGCGGGGCCGCAAGAGAGCCGGCGGCGGGGCCGCAAGAGAGCCGGCGGCGGGGCCGCGTGAGAGCCGGGACGGGGCCGCGTCAGGGCCGGCGGCGAGGCCGCGAGAGAGCCGAGGCGGGGCCGCGATCAGGAGGCGGCGGCGGGGCCGCGTCAGAGCCGGCGGCGGGGCCTCGTCGAGGCGGGCGGCGGGGCCGCGTTGGAGCCGGCGGCGAGGCCGGCTAAGAGCCGGCGGCGGGGCCGCGTCAGGGCCAGCGGCGGGCCGCGATCAGCGGGCGGCGGGGCCGCGTCAGAGCCGGCGGCGGGGCCGCGTCAGAGCCGGCGGCGGGGCCGCGATCAGCGGGCGGCGGGGCCGCGTCAGAGGAGGCGGCGGAGCCGCTGCAGAGGAGGCGGCGGGGCCGCGTCAAGCAGGGGTGGCGGGGCCGCGTCAGAGGGACAGCGGGGCCGCGAGAGTAATGGCGACCCGAAGGGTCGCGAAAAAAAAATGCGCGCCTCGGGGCGCGCTTCGGTGGGCCCTAAAAAAAACGGTCCTTAGGAAGGACCCGCTCTATACCATGTGAAAGATAAGAGAACAGGAATGAATGAACTAGCAGTGAAATGAGTACAAGTAGGAAACCCTAGAATTGTGTACCCCCTATAGGCTAACCCACTGTAGCCTACACAAGCATAACATGTATAATGTTTGACAAAAGCATATCCTGTGATTAATACAAACCAATCACGCGCGGTCATTTAGTTTATCGCGAATTGATGGCCGATCATTTCGGTATCTGATGGGGAATTCAATGATGGCGCCTGATTGGACGCTCAATGGCAACATATGCACCGCGCATGTTTTTGACGAATCATGCGGGTGCATTAGGGGTGTGGCTGTTCGCTTCGGGTCAATAGGATTATATGATCGCGAAGTTATATGCTCGATCGCTGATTCGTTCGGAATTAGATTGACCGCGTGCTCATTGGTCGCGCATTTGGCCGTAACTGACCGGTCAATGCACGTTTTGGTCGGTTTCTTGTACAGTGGGCGGGCCAGTTTCGCATCCGTGAGCCTGGCGAAATTTTAAGGTGAACGGAACACTACCTAGGGATACCACTCGCACGAATAAGGAATTTCGGGGCTACAAAGCCTCGTAGGGTAATGCGCCGGTGAAAAAAAAGCGAGCAGGAATCCCCTGGCGTGGCCACTCGAGTAATTCGAGGCCCCCCTAGAGAGGATGAATCACCCGATTGGCCACCGGAGAAATTCTCTCCAGGGGGGATTTCGTCAGGCACGTTTGTGACGGTTCGTTTATGCGCGTTAGTGGCTATTTCGCTACAAAAAAACACCAGAATTCATTTGGTGCGCTTATACGAAGATTGACAGAAATTGGGGTGGGCTTATAATCGGCAACCGGCTATAAGCCCACTAGTACGATTATAACTGCATGGGTGTAACATAGGCCTGGGGGTATATCCGGGTGATGACGGTACCACCACTCAATTGATTTGACAACTGAGCTGCAGCAATGATTGGAATCGAGGGCTTTATGGCATGGGGAAAGCATTCTGAATTGTTGAGTTCTGAATTGATGGTTTTTTTTTTAAACATTGCAACTGGTACGAGCTGTGGCATCCTTTCACTGGCCGAGGGCACGCTGTTGGAGGCTCAATCGCAACAGCTAGTGTTGGTGTCCTACAGGTGCTAGTGGCTGCTGCCTTGCAAAAGCCCCCTGCCGTTGCTGCTGTTAACACAGCTACTGCACATGCCCTTATCACTGCTGCTGCGAATGCTGCTATTTCCAGAGCTGTCCCCTCGCCCTCTTGGCTGATTATCAGCAGCCTCAGTGCACACTCTGAGCGAATTGCTACTGCGGCTGGTGCGCTTGAAGCTGGAACAAGCAGGCTTGGCATGGGAATGCAGGCCAAGTGACACACGAGCAGATTCAAAACTTCTTCTCCCAGCGGGTTGGATCTGCCATGGATGGCCCGCCGAATGATGCAGCATGGGCGATGGCATGTCAAGTGAAGGTGCCTGCGCCCGCAGCAGACCAAGCGACTTACACGCCGAGTCGAAGCTTCTTCTCCCGGTGTGCTGATCCTGCCACGGATGGCCGGGCGAATGATGCAGCACAGGCGACGACGTGTCGCTTGAGGGCGCCTGCAGCATGGAAGGTGGGATGTTGAAAGATTGTGTTCGGTCCAGCCCTCGGCAAAAAGCAGCTGTGAAGCTGGTCGGGGATGGAGGTGAGACGCTGTACAGGTGTGTCTGCTGGCCTCCTGGCTGGCTCCTGGGCTCCTGGTTAGCTGACTGCTGCCTACTAGACGGCTGGCCAGTACGAGCCTGCCGGTGATTCGATAATCTCGGACTCGATAAAGGCAGACTCAATAGTGGAACCAGTGGCGGGCTTGACGGCTCTGCATGCCGGCTGATATGAGGGGTGCTTACTGGATTTACGGCAGACTTTTGAATCGACTCCAAAGTTACCACACGGCTTGCTCGGGGGCTGTTCACAGGGCATGCAGATGCGCCCCTTCCGTGCTTAAGCTCGCCAACTAGCCTCATTTCGTGCAAAAGCGTGTGTTGCACGCACCCTCTGCTATCCTCAACCTCCCTGCTGACCTGACACTGTCTGCTACTCTTAATCCCTCTGCTATTCTCGCACTCGGCAAGGGAGGGCAAGAAAGCACCTGCCGGCGCAGAGTGGGTGAGAAGGTTGTCGTTGAGAGACCTGGCTGGGAGGATGAAGTGAGAGCAGCGGCGCACCCCCATGGGGCGATGCGTGCGCGGGTAGGGCGGCGGCGACGGGGAGAGAACAGGCGAACTGGGCGGGGAGTTTTGAGACGTCTCGAGATTCGATGGGGAGAGAACGGGCGTATTGGGTGGGGTGAGCGGTGCTGGCCCGGGAAGTGAGCCGCGTTGGACCCGAGCTGATTGGTGTAAGTATTCCTGAAACCCCTCCTCAGCCTCCTCCCAGGCGAGCTGTCTAGGGGAGAAGGGAGGATTGCCTCCTTTCTGCTGGCGCTGCTGCTGCAACTTGCTCGGCTTCGCTTTCGCTGTAACTACTATGGGGTGGGCTGCTGCGACAGCTGTTGTTGTGAGGAGATCTGCCGGTGCACTTGATACTGCCGTTCTGCCCGCTGCTGCTGCTGCTGCTGCTGCTGCTGCTGCTGCTGTGGTGGTGGGCTGCCTCAGCCGTGTGCTGGCTACAGTTCCAATGCGCCCCAGATGGTAGGGGTAACTTACCCCACTGTGCACAGCTTTTGCCCCACCGTGTGCCTTGCCACTCCCCCCACTGTGCTCAGGGAAGTGGTCATGTGTGTTGTGAATGTGTGAAGAGCAGGTGGTTGGAAGACTGAGAGAAAGATTGCTCGGCTTCAACTGCTGCTGCTGCCACTGCTGCTGCTGCTGCTGTTGCTGTTGCTGCCGCTGATTCTGCTGCTGCTTCCGCTGCTGCTGCTGCTGCTTCCGCTGCTGCTGCTGCTGCTGCTGCTTCCGCTGCTGCTGCTGCTGCTGCTGCTGCTGCTGCTGCTGCTGCTGCTGCTGCTGCTGCTGCTGCTGCTGCTGCTGCTGCTGCTGCTGCTGCCACTGCTGCTGCTGCTGCTGTTGCTGTTGCTGCCGCTGATTCTGCTGCTGCTCCTGCTGCTGCTGCTGCTGTTGCTGTTGCTGCTCCTGCTGCTGCTGCTGCTGCTGTTGTTGTTGCTGCCGCTGATGGTGGTGGTGGTGGTGGTGCTGCTGCTGCTGCTGCTGCTGATGGTGCTGCTGCTGCCGCTGCTGTTGATGTTGCTGCTGGTGCTGGTGCTGTAAGGTACAGCGACCCTTGAAATTGTCGCATCCAGGTTTGACGTCCGCACGCATGCTCGCACTGGGAGAAGCAAGAGCAGCTGCGGAAGGAGACACCAAGTGATGCTCAGAAGCAACGCCTTTACAGCTTACATGGTTGCTCCCACGGCAACCGCCAGCAGTGGCACTCCCATGGCTCTCAGTCGCCATGGCAGTTGCCAGCCGTGGCGCCTTTGATGCTGCATGGGTCGCTGTGATCAAGGCAGCTGCTCCCCCGTTACAGCGGCTACCAGGAAACTTCCCCCGTGTATCTTGCTTTGGAACAAGCTGCTTCACACGAACTGCACCACCCAGGTTTACACCATCGGAGGGAGTTGTGGGGATGCCTTTCGCAGTGACGCAGCAGCCTTCTGTAGCGACTCTGCCACAATCGGTGACAGCAACGCCATTCGTCACAGCTGCGAAGCTCTGTCCGCCGGTGATCATCTTTTGGGGGACGACGCCCATTCGGCGGATGTTCCACTGCGATGCGATGAGGTGACGAGCCCACTCGAAGTCCAATAATCTGTTGTCCTCGTTACTGTTGTCCTCGTTACCGTTGTCTTCGTTGCCGTCGCATTTTATCGTTAAGGAGTGCTTAACGTTATCCTCGTTACTACTGTCGTCGCTATCGTTCTCGTCGCTGACAAAATTTCTCATGTAGTTCCCGCCGGCGCTCTCGTCTGGAAAGTCTGCTCCCGCGCGGATCGAGCGGTACACGGGATAGGTGGCATGGAACGGGTGGGTTGATGCGACAAAGCGTGACGCCATGATTTCCCTACTACTAGCAAAAGTCTGGACCTTCTGGTAACCGTAATACTACTAACAGTACTTGTTATGTGGCGGTACTGGGGATCCTGGGAAGGACTCTTGCAGACAGCAATCCTAAAGCCATAACTTCGAAACTCTCATAAGCAAAGCCACCGTTGCGCTATTCCGGCTAATCGAATCTCAAGGGAATTTATACTCATTTGTGAAAAAAATCTGACGAATCATCGCTTCTTCTTTCAGTCGTGGAAAATTGAGCAGAAACACTCGTGCAGTGACGGAAAATATAAGATTTCTGAGGCGCCTCACAAAGTGGACAGAGTTGAGCAGAATGCACTCGTGCGCCGACGGAAAAAAGTCCTAAAAATCCTCGAGCCACCACTGGCGCGGATTAGCTGGCATAAGTAGCACGGCTCGCGAGCAGCGGATGCCCTATATACAGTTAATTCAAGGAGGTACGTAAAGGAGCTAGATTTTCACGGTAGGTAGATATTGCCGAGGAACAGGGTGGAGAAAAAAATCGATTAGCGCGAATTTCATCTGCCAGCGTTGCGGGCAGAACGCGGCTGACTTGACTCTAACAAGCTGACTAGGTTACATGCTAGGATGCCGCAACAACTGAATCTAAGCGCGTCGCTCACACGCAACATCCTCAGCCGTGCAACGGAGCTTCCAGCGGAACCATGGTTCGCGTGCTCCCAGAAATGTCGTGCTCTAGTGATTAGTCAAGGAAAGCGTGAGTTGAGTGAACCATATGAATCTTGAAACCCATGAATGACGATCCAACCAGATTGACTTTTGAGTCGACTCAATCATGAGTCGAGGAAATTCTGGCGATCCCACACGGATCACATGCTCCTGGGAGTGCGACTTAGCTGGGATGAAGCTGCAAGCACGTGCCTTGCAGATCCAGCCGAGCACACAGAGTGCAAAGCATACAAGGTAAGTGGGAAACCTAAGCTCCGAGACGCGGGAATTTGATCTCAGCCAAACAGCAAACACCGAGGTGACACTCTCGCGTGCACGTACAGTAGCTGCGGCGCGTTCCACCACTACGGCAGGATGCATGTCTGTGATGACCTTGACAACGAGTCTTACTCAAAGATCACCAAGTTCCACTGGTACGGCACGGCTCATGCTGTGATGTGACATACCGTATTGACGACGCTTGTGTCACTTTTAAGATTCTGGAAAGTGACACAAACACAGCACATGCTGTGATGTGACATACGAATCAACCATGAACCGCGTGCGGTGCGCTCGTTTTCAGCGACTCCCATCCTCGTAGAAGGATGGAAGCTATAGCAGCATCAGATGTAGGTGCGAGAAATCCCATGATTAGAGACGGTGACTGAGCAGGCTGCTGTGATTCAGGAGATGATTGATGAGCAGAGAGCGGGTGGTGGAGGAAAGTAAGGCGGTGAGGTCTTCATTTGGCACCGCAGAACAGATGAGATGGCGTTCACAGCAAGTTCGCTCAAAGCGAAGCGCGCTCAAGCCCCCCAAAAGTGCAGATTTTTGTGTACAGTGTGGCAGTAACCCGATTCAACCACACCCACCCCACGTGCCCAGCGACGGGTCTGACGACCATCGCACAACCCAAACAGCAAACTTCCACCCAATCACATGCATTCGGAAGAAACGGTTATGCGACCGTAACCTGGCGGAAACCACCGCTCAGTAGACACCTGGCGTAACCTGGTGGAGCGGATTGGAGTTGTTTTTGGTAGTGTGGGCGCGACAATTTGCTGCTCTAGTTGCGCCGTCAATTTTTTCGTCCTGGAATTTTTGTACGTGCAGCCAGCTGCTACGGCAGTGTTCGGGAGAGTACTGTTACTGTACAATTCTGACGCTCAACGACCCACAAAGTTAACATGGGTTCCGATCGCACGACCCTCACGAGTGGGACAGGTTAGGACTTGATGCGGAACGTCTTGGCCCCCTTGGGTTTCGAGCTTCCCAAGTACTGTACAGTGGCCTTGTGAGTCGCGCCCCTACGACGTTCGCCCGAAGCAACCCACACGTCTGGGCCGAGTCTGGCCTTCTCGCCAGGTCACCACCTACTGGCCTGGTTTTGACGGATTTCGCTAGCACCCTGGGTCACGGGAGCAGCGATCGTCAGCCAATTCACAATGGGCAGTACAGATACTTCAGCTAAATCGCCCAAAAAAAAACTTTTATCCCAACAATATTAACATCGTAGTGGAAATAAAATCAAACCCATTCGGATTACATAAACTCGGGTAGGCATCAACCCTAAACACATGCGACACGGTATTTAGGGTTGATGCCTTCCTGACCGGAAGCATGCCCGTATGGGGTTTTTTTTTTTTCCGCTTGTCCGTTGAGAAATCCGTCACTCTGTATGGTCAGGTCTGACAGAGCGCACGAGTGAGGCCCGGACTTGGTTAGAGACCGGCCCTGCCCAAGTTTGACACTTTACGAAACACAAGGCCCCAAGTTGGCTACTTCTTTAGACCTTTGTGACAAACATATATATGTGTTATAGTTATGGGTAGGCTGTAGTGGGGTAGATACTGTAGGGTACAACCCCTTAGGTTTCTTCCTTGTACCAAATCTCTCAACATTGCAAGACCCCTCATGCCTAAGTTTCTAAGATGGTATCTAGAGCAGTAGGTCTTTAGGACCTAAGATTAGGGCCCACCGGTTACCGCGTTACCTCACTTACCGCCTTGCCTGCCTGCCTGCCTTGCCTGCTGCCCGCGCGCGCCTTGGCTGCACGCGCGACCCTTTTTTTTTTTCCCGTGTGCGCCGCTTAAGCAGCCCGCGCAACCCGTTTTCGGCCCCGCGCGCCGCGTCAGCCGCCCGCGCAGCCTGCTGCCGGCCCACGCGCCGCTTAAGCCGCCTACGCGCAGCCCGCTTAGGCCCCGCCCACGCAGCCCGCCGCCGCACGCAGCCCGCAGCCGCGCGCAGCCCGTAGCCACGCGCAGCCAGCAGCCGCGCGCAGCCCGCAGCCGCGCGTGCCCTGCCCGTGTGCCGCCCGTGCGCCGTGCGCCTACCTGTCTTAGCCTGCCTGGAGCGCCTGCCTTGAACGCCTGCCTGCCAAGAGCGCCTCCCTGGCTTGAGTGCCTGCCTGCCTTGAGCGCCTGCCTGCCAAGAGCACACTCACCCCCGACGGACGGAGGACAGACAGACTCAGACTCAGCAACCAGACTAGCAACGTAGTCTAAACGACAGGCAACAGCAAAGTCAACCAACTCAGCGACAAAGGCAGACGCAGCAACAGACTCAAACGACGGGTCAGTGACAACAGTGGCTAGCAGACGCGTGACAGTAGGGTGCTCAGCAGGAAGCCGGTCAGACTCAGGGTCCGCAACGACAGGCAGAGAAGACGCAGGAGGAGACGGCCGAGGAACACGCTGCGGAGGAGAGGAAGGACGACGGACTACGAGGTGGGTGACGGGAGCAGTGGTGGTGGCGGCGGCGGTGGTGGCGGAGGGGGGAGTGGTGGTGGCGGCGGTGGTGGGGGCTTGGGTGACACCAGTGGTGGCCAGGGGCAGCAGCAGCAGCAGCGTCAGCGCTAGACCCCCACTTCCTAGCAGCTTCTTGACTGGTATGCCTGGCGTGGGGCGTCTGGGGGTCCTGGGCGCTGCCCCTATATCATTCGCACAGGTCCCCGCACTGGTCGCCAGTGCACAGGGTTTCACACTGAGTACTGCTGCTTCGCTCGGCTTAGCGACGCCTGGCGCGTCAAGTTTCCTGATGCTAATGAGTTCCCCAACTGAGCAGAACTGCTTATGCGTGATGTACCTATCTTTGATCTTGACTATGAGGCTATTCTTGCTGCCATGTATGCATTGACTGTTAGTGCTGAGGGTGAATGCTACTTGTGTGTGCTGCCTGACCCCAGTATAGCCCCAGGTATAGCGCCTGTGGCACTAGGTGCTTGTGAGTCTGCTCCTCCTGGTACTGCGTTCGCACAAGCCTTGCACACCTTCACACTTGACTCTGGTGCTTCCCGATGTTTCTTTCGCGACAGCACCACAGTCCTTCCCCTCTCTGCACCTGTTCTTGTCTCACTGGCTAACCCCTCTGGGGGCCCAGTGCTTGTACGGTCTTCCACTGTGCTTCCGTGTCTGGCGGTTTCGTCTGGTAAGCTGTCTGGTCTCCACCTCCCCTCGTTCTCTACGAACTTGGTGAGCAACGCCGTCCTTCAGGATCACTGGGTTGACACCTTTACTCCTGGAGGACAGCGTGTGGCGATCTGCACGTGCTCCTAGACCGGCTGTCACCTGGCCACGTTCACACGTGCGCCTGGGTCTAGTCTGTACACCCTCACCACTGCGTCGCGCTCCACCCCTTTGTCTCCCCAGCTATACGCGTCTGCTCAGGTAGCTACCCAGTGTGAGTGTCGCCGGCTGTCGCACGACACTCTCCTGTGGCACCACCGCCTTGGTCACCCCTCCCTGCCTCGCCTTCGTAGCATGCACTCTCGCTTCCTGGTCTCTGGCCTTCCCAGGTCTCTGCCTGCCCTCCCTCCCTCGCCTACGCCGCGCTGCATTCCTTGCGTCGAGGGGCGGCAGCGCGCCGCTCCTCACTCCTCCTCGTTCCCTCCCACAGTGGCTCCACTGCAGACTCTCCACCTGGACGAGTGGGGCCCAGCCCGCGTCCGTGGACAGGGCCACGAGCGGTACTTCCTGCTGGTCGTCGACGACTACACGCGTTACACCACGGTCTTCCCCTTGCAGCGCAAGGGGGAGGTCCCTGATGTTTTGATCCCCTAGATCCGCGATGTTTGTCTCCAGCTCCGCGAGCGGTTCCAGTCGAACTTTCCTATCCTGCGTCTGCACTCTAACAGGGGTGGTGAGTTCTCCTCACACCTCTTGGCAGCCTTCTGTGCAGAGCACGACATCCGCCAGACGTTCACGCTTCCGGCCTCTCCGCAGCAGAATGGGGTTGCTGAGCGCCGCATTGGCTTTGTCATGGAGGTCGCTCGTACCTCCATGATCCATGCGGCTGCCCTCATTTTTCTGTGGCCGTTT